TAAAGACTTTATTATGTATACAGTGTTCTGTCTGCATGTATCCCTGCAGGCCAGAAGAGGGCGACAGATCTCATTACAGATGGCTGTGAGCCACCCTGTAGTTGCTACTGTGATTGAACTCAGGACCTCTGGAAGAACAGCCAGCGCTCTTAACCGTTGAGCCATCTCTCCAGCCCCACTAGTTAAGTTCTTAAAACAGTGCTGCACACACGAAAAGATACAAAACCAACATTTTGAAGAGAAAAGGAGAAGAAAGGTGGGGGCAGGGAGTTACCTGCTTGCTTCAGCTGACCTTACCCAAGCCTCAACCAAAGTGTCCTGGCTGTTGCTGACCAGAGGCTGAGTTCCCTTGGCAATTGGCCTCAAGAAAGAGCCAGAGCTACCCTGTTCATGGAGTGCTCATCTCTTGGCCTTAAAGCTGGAATCTTTTGAGACAGGCCACCTTTGACTTTCCAGGTGCCCCATTCCGAATTCAGTGCTAGGCAGTGCTACCCTCCTTTTTACGATCAGTCAGCATTCAAGAGGACCTCAGAGACCCTCCAGACTGATACTTTGCTTAATACATGAGGGCAAAAAGTCTAAAAGGAAGTGAAGTCCTAGGTATAAATTGGGGCAAAGTCAGGCACAGTCATGGGCCATTATTTCTAGTGACCAAAATCTTCCCATTTTTCAGGAAAAGAAAAATGGTGCTTTTGACCTGTTGAGTCATCTCTCCAGTCCTTATTGCCTCTTAAATCACAAAATCATATAACATACTTTTTAAATTTTGTATTTTGTATTTTTTTGATTAGGGATGTTTGACTGGTTTTTTTAAAAAAAGGAAAGAAATCTTGCAAATAGTGAAAAAAAAACCTAAGAAATAAAAAATATGTACTCCTTAGTATTTCCCATATGGGGTATTCAACTGGCATTATACACTTTCCATGGGGGCAGCAGGGGGCAGCTATCTGCAGCCAGAACACTGCTCAAGTCCCAGCTCTACCATTATTAACAGTATGGTTATTAACAGTAACCTTCTTCAAACAATATAAAACATGCGTGACTATTCACAAGGTTCAAGGATTAAAGAAGCTAATTCCACGTAAAGTCCACACCAGAGTTCTCAGAGCACGCTGACTGCTCTGCTTCTCAGCGTTACTCACTGCTTATAGACAGACTAGGGGCTGGAGAAATGGCTCTCAGTGCTTAAGAACACCTGCTGTTCATGCAGAGGACCCGAGTCCAGTTTCCAGGTGGCTACATCAGGTGGCTTACAACTGCCTACAACTCCATCTCCAGAAGGACCCGACACCCTCTTCTGGTCTCCACAAGCACCCACACACATGCTTAACAGACACATACATCAAACAACAACAACAACAACAAATGGTAAACATAACGAGAAACAAGATCTTACTGCTAGTCCAAAGAAGACTAGAACACTAAGGCATACATGTTTAGCTCGTATTTCTGGCCCAGGAACGCCCAGGCCTTCAGCAACCAAGCATTCTTTCCTTTCTCTGAATCTGGGGGAAAACCGTCTCAGAACAGAGGCACAGGCAGTAAGATGCTTAAAATCACAAAGGAAGGTCAGGAGGAGAGAACCCAAGCACACCCAAAAAACTAAAACTCACCTCAAGTTCAGCAAGACACATCTCTAGTCCAGTCTCTCACCATCAAAAGCGACGCAGCAGAATGCTAGCAGCGAAAGCTCTGAAGTTCAACTGCCTGAGACAAACTCTGGTCCACCCCTTACAGGCTGTGTGACATATGCAATGAATTCACTTTTCTCTGGGCTATCCTTCCTTGTGAGAATTACACTGCAATTACGACATTTGAGAAGTACATTCTACTTGCTTAATACTATGTCAAGCACTGTACCTGGCCATGCAGTTTAGATGCCACAACCTACAGAAGGCCATCATTCTACAGAAGTGCTCATGGCCACCGTTACTGGTAAAACTGAAACATCTGTGTACGAGGCCTGCTTCCAGCACCTACGTTCCCGTCTCTAACTCCTCCGCCTCTCCAACTACAAACGGAAAATGGCCATGTGTTGAAACAAAAGCAACTCCATAGTGCTCAGCACAGGGTCTGGTCAGCCTTGCTGTGACAGAAGCTGGCATTACCCCTGCAGTTCTGATCAGACCTTCACTAAAGGAGAGGGAGAGTTTGATTTTCTGGTGCTGGGACCAAACACTCTGACCAAA